TCGATTTCTGTCTGCGTCTGCGTCTGTGTCGGGCCAGTTTCAGATTTCACCCAGGAAACTCCAAGTTTGTGAACCAACCAAGCGGAAGCCACATGTGCAGACCCTGGGACCATGGCCCGCCTCCTTGTAGGTTGGAGAAGTTGTATTCGCTACCCGTGCCTCAGTTTCCTCACCTGGGGAAAATCGGACGATAATAGCTCCCATCTCCTGGCGCAGTCCTGTGACGTGTGGGTGTGGTTTTGGGGTGATTATCTAGTGGTTTGGGAATGTGTGTCTCCACTTATGTTACAGAATCGGCTACTCAGTGCTGTGTATACAGATAAACTCAGATCCAGTGGGATCAACATGAATTTTGGGGGGCCCCATCACTGGCTGCTGGGGGTCAGGCAGGTCCCACCATGAGCTTCCTAGGCAACTTGGAGAGGAAGAAAGTAGAACCGATGAACACAGCACCCCAAGCTCCTTTTCTGTTTCTCCGACTCATCCCAACATTCAAAAAATAACATTAGCTCCCACCTGTGGAGCCCTCACTCGGCATGAGGCACGGTCCTGGGTTCGAATCCCTTTACATCCATATTAGCTCTAATTCATGTAAACGTCACCACCAACCTATGGGATGTGGTTGATCATCAGCCCTGACACTATACAGGCAGGAACCTGAGATACAATTCAGTCACGGGGTTCCGAGGACGCAGAGAGGAGCAAGCCAGGCCTCAAGGCCAGGCACGCTGCCGATGCTGCCTCCTATGGGCAGGAAGTGACGTCCTCTCTCAGGCACCTGGCTCCTCCCAGTTGTCCTAAAGAAGGGGCCTCCCAGGGTCCGAGGGGAGGCTCTTTCCCTGTCCCCCTGGTCACATGGGACATGAGCCTGCTAAGCATTTCCTGACAGTTGCTCCTTGTTGCCACAGGATGTCACCATTGGAACCGGCTTCTACAGGACACAAGGAAATGCGGGGCCTCTGCCCACCCTGAGCAGAACCCCCTGCGGCCCAGAGCTAGACTCGGCCAGAAGGACCCCAGGCTTAGCTGTATCGCTCAGTGCTCCTCTTTAAAAGGGGGTGTCACCTTCCAGCTGCCCCAGAACACTGTCCCAGCTGCTCACCTCTGAGCATGAAGGTAAGATGACACCTGTTTATATAGACACTGTGCATGGCTCTCAGCCCCTCTTGAGGGACCCCCGTGGTAGACGACTTTGCAAAAGCTATTTCCGCAGTGGAACCGGCAGAGGTGGAGTTTAATTGGATGAGTGGAGAGGAGGAGACAGAGGGACCAGGAAGCCTCGGATGACGGGTTTCTGACACATGTGGTCCATGGATGGCCCGTCATTTTCTGGGAAGACATGACCCTGGAGGGTTATGTCTGTCTTCTAGTCGGTGGTGCCCGCCCTGGGCAGAGGCCGGGCCTTTCCCTCCTGGACCCCCCACAGCCTCCTCAGGGTTCAGAGCCGCACCCTGTGGGGCTGAGAATGTGCCAGTTCTGAGCAGGGCACTGCATGGAGCCTGTGCCCTAGGAGGGCATGGGGTGAGGTCATCTCTGGGCCTAGAGGGCATCACTCCAGCTGGGTGACTGATGGGGGTCGTGTTGGCCACCATAGGGGGTGACTGTTGCCATGGGGAGGACCCCTGAGCCCTGACACAGAATCACGCCCCCACGGCTCCCTAGTGCTGCATGGGTGCTCCTGGACCCCAAGGCGCAGCTCCTGTCTCTGTCCCTCCTTCTTGTCTTGTCACCCCCAGTCCCTGAGCAGCAGGGTCTGAAGAGGAAGACTTCCCAGTAATAAGTCATAATACTATGTTGCCACATAGGCTTGGGCAGGGCTGGGCGGAGGAGATCTTTGGAATGCCCTGGGGATGGGACGGGTTGCATGTGTCATTTGAGGTTCTCTCCGGGTTCATTAAGATTAGCTCAGCTGGTATGGCTCAGTGGTTGAGTGTCAACTTATGAACCAGGAGGTCATGGTTCGATTCCTGATCAGGGCACAAGCCCAGGCTGGGGGCTGGATCCCCAGTAGAGGGCATGCAGGAGGCAGCTGATCAGTGATTCTCATCCTTGATGTTTCTACCTCTCCTCCCCCTCCCCCTCCCTCTC